GCAGATGGGTGGATGGCTGGACGGAGGGCTTGGTGAGTGGGATATGAATGGGTGGATGCATGGATGGATAGACGGGTACATGGATGGATGAAGGGGTGGGGTGGGTGGATGGGTGGATGGATGGATGGATGCATGGATGGGTGGGACAGATAGGTGGGTGGATGAATAGATGGATATGTGAATGGATGAATGAGTGGGTAAGTAGGTGAGTAGATAGATGGATGGGTGGAGTGTAGACAGATGGATAGGTAGATGCAGACCAGCCATCCAGGGGCTCTTTCTCACTTGGAGCCCCCACGCCTTCTCCTCTGAGCCCTATCTTAACGCGGCTCCCTCTGAACACATCTAAGTATGTCACTTCCTCTACTGGTGGGAGGTGTCAGGATCCAGGATCTTGTCCTCCTCACCCCATGGAACTCTGTCTACAGTAGGGACTCGGTAAATAAATGCTTGCTGCGCTGGGCCAGTCCTAATCCTTCTACCACCTTCCGTCTCCTCGTTCCCACCCCTACACACTTTCTCCTACACAAAAGAACCCCGGTGAATTTTTCAGGTTGAAATAAAGACAAGAGTGGAATGAACCCGGGGAGGGAGTGGGCAGGAGAGAGAGACTGGCCTGGCTTCAGCAGAGGGAGATGCTGAGGGACAATGGCAGCTTGGACCCCTGAGGCAGGAACTGGGCTGTTACAGAAAAGTGTATGCTGGGGCAACTCAGCCACATCCATTCGTTGCTTGATTCATTCAAAAATGTAGCGGGAATCTACTATGCGCCAAGCCCTGTGCTAGGAGCTGGGGGCCCTGCAGGAAGGGAGATAACAGACAAGTCATGACAAGCGCCATGAGGCTTAGAGCAGTGAATCCATGGGAAGTACCAGGAGCCCAGGGCAAAGAAGTCAAGCCTGAGGGATTCAGAGCAGGGAGCCAAGAATAGCGAGGAGGCAGAGGGGGCTGGGGGCGCTGTGCAGGGGCTTTGCTGGGACAAAGTGCCAGACGGCAAAGGGGAACCCAGCACACTCAGCCGAAGCCTGGAGTATGAGAGGGATGGCGGGGTGGGAGGGGCCAGCAGGGGCAGCCATTACACCAGGCAGGTGGGCCCATGTGACAAGCTGGACTTTACCCAAGGGCAGCAGGAGCTAGGGGCCCGCAATGCCCTCCTCTTCCCCGTTCCTGCTCCCAGCCCTTGGAGAAACCCTCGGCTCCTGGGACAATATGGAGCACACCCATCCGGCCCCAGATAAGCCACATTCTCTGTCTAACACTCAGCCTGACCTCACATCTTCCCCCTCAACCTGGACAGGCCTCAGTCCCCTGCAGGGGAGACCCCTTCCTGTGGGGAGCAAGTCCAGACACAAAGGGAGGGTGATCCAGAAAGGTGTGGACCGGGAAGGGGCCTGCACTAATAAGCACTTCTGCCTCCCAAATGCAAGGCACTAGGCATCAGTTTTAAACAAGGCTGGAGAGCTCAGAAGTCTGCATTAGATGCCATGGTCAAGGCCTGGCTGAGTCACTGACTAGCATGTGACCTTAGCAAATCTCTACAGCCCTCCATGTCCAAGTTTCCTCTCTGGGTTTCCTAGCAGAATTGAAGAGGCCGATGTAGGTAAAGGGCTCAGCACAGTGGCTGGCACACAGTATGCTCCATCAGTGTGAATCGTGGTCATTGTTAGGAGGCAGTGAGTAAGCTCCCCGTCACCAAGAGTATGCAAGCAGAGGACTGGGGACCGGCTGTCAGGCCTGGGTGCAAGGAGAGATTTGATGATGTCTACATTTCTCAATCTCAAAGGTCTCTCAGCTTCCTTCCTCCACCACCCCGCCCACGTGTAAACCCTGCTACCCAGCTGAGCACTAACAGCAAAAGGCGGGCAAAAATGTCAGAAATTTCCCCCCAGAGATTGAAGGAGGGGTTTTTGTGGGTTTTTCAGGTTTCCTATCTGCCTTGCCCAGAAGCCAAGGTCAATAAAACTCCAACAAAATGCCCCACCCACCACACCAGCATGGGGCGCTCAGCCACCCCTAGCACTGGGCCTTGGAGGGGGGAAGGGGGGGAAGGGAGCCCCCTTTTTCTAAGCCACAGCTTCTAAGTAGAAGGAGGCTAGAACCCAGGATGTCGCTCTCTCTCTACCCTCTCTGCATCTCGGGCCCACCTGAGGTCAAAGGGGCCAGAGTAGGATGGGAAGAAAGTGATTGTCTTTCTCCCCTGTGGGTCCCAAGGGAACTTACAGAGCACTCCAGAGAGACAAAACCCCAGCAAGTGGATGCCGGGAGAAGCTGTGTGGGAACCACCACCCGGCACCAGCTGGAGGGAAGGCCTCTTGGAGGAAGGGGTGCTGGGACTACAGCAGGCAGAAACCTGGGAAACCTGGGAATCCCAGGTGGGGACAGGTATGTCCAAAGGCCAGAAACAGGAAGGCATCCAGTAGTTCCTACAGAGAGGCCAAGGAAGAAAACACTGGAAAGGTGACCTCACTATAAGAACGAACCATACACATTTGCTGGGTGGATGAGTGGGCAGGTGGATGGGTGGGTGGGTGGGTGGTTTGACGGATGGAGGAGCAGATGAAAGGGGACTGGAGAGTGGGTAGATGGATAGAGGATGGATGGGAAGATAATGGGAGAAAGACGGGAAGAGGACAGTGCTGTGAACTGAACTGTGTCTCCCCAAAGTTCATGTTGAAACACTAACCCCCAATGTGACTGTATTTAGAGATAGGACTTTTAGGAGGTAATTAAGGTTAAATGAGGTCATAAGGGTGGGATCCTAACCCAATAGGATTGGTGGCTTTATACGAAGAGGGGGAGAAAGGAGGAGAGACAGAGAGAGGGAAAGCAGGGAGGGGAGGGAGGGAGGGAGAGAAAAAGAAGAGGAAAGGGAGAGAGAGACAGAAGAGGGAAGGGAGGGGGAAAGGGAGAGAGAGAGAGAGAGAGAGAGAGCACTCCCTCTCCCTATGATCCTACGATGAGTTGATCATCTGTAAGCCAGGAAGAGCGCCCTCACCAGAAACCAAACCCTACCAAAACCTTGATCTTGGACCTTCCAGGTTTCAGAACTGTAAGGAAATAAATGTCTACTATTCAGGCCATCTTGTCTTATCTCATGTCCCATCTCTCATGCCTCCTCTAGGGCACTGGATGCCCCTCAGGACTTTCAAGTGTAACCACTGGGGCGGAAATGCCTCATGAGCCTGTTCCACTTGGGCCTGAGCTCCTCTGCAAAACAGGAAGAATGTTCCTCATCCCCGTGCCAGAAGGATTTCCTGGTCATCTACTGGGAGCCCATCACTGCACTGGGGTGGGTGAGCATTGCAGGAGCAATGGACCCATTGGTCCCTGAGAAATCTATAGGCCAGGTCACCCTGGGGCAAATGCATGCTCTGGGCTGGAGCAGACAAGAACTACAAGGGGTTTCCAGGTCCCAGAAATAAGGGGCTGTCTGGAGATATGCTAGCCCAGACTCGGAGGGTCACTGAGCCCTGGGGTCCAGCCCTGGCCAGTACTGCCATCTCTCAGCTCTGTGATCCTGGGCAAGTCACTTAACCTCGCTGAGTCCCAATAGCCCCATCTGCAAAATGGGTATAATAAAGGATAATTTTATTATACCCATTTATTATACAATTTATTATGTTAGCACAATGACCAGTAATCTCAGAACTTTGGGGATCTGAGGCAGGAACATTGCTTGAGGCTAAACATTCCAGGCCAGCCTGGGCAACAGAGCAAGACCCTCTCTCTACAAAAGACTCAAAAATTTAACCCTCTCTCTACAAAAGAATCAAAAACTTAGCATGCCTGAAGTCCCCACTACTTGGGGGAGGATTGCCTGGGAGGATGGCTTGGGACCAGGAGTCTGAGGCTGCAGTAAGCTATGATCTCACCACTGCACTCCAGTCTGGGTGACAGAGTGAGCTCCTGTCCCTAAAAATAAAATTAGATAAATAAATACAATAAAAAATAAATAAAGGATTATTGTGGGCACTTAATGAGATGGAGACAGGTAATGGTCTCAGACTGACAGTGAGTGTTCAGTGAGGGATGGTTGTAAGTTAAAAGTAAAACTCGCTGGGCTCGGTGGCTCAGCCTGTAATCCCGCGCCTTTGGGAGGCTGAGGTGAGTGGATTGCCTAAGCCCACGGGTTCGAGACCCGCCTGGGCAACTTGGCGAGACCTCATCTCTACAATAAATCAAAAAGTAGCCGGGCATGGTAGTGCGAGCCTGTAGTTCCAACTACTTGGAAGGCTGAGGCTGAAGGATCGCCGGAGCCCAGCAGGTCGAGGCTGCAGTGGCTGGGAGCAGCCACTGCACTCTGGTCTGGGTGACAGAGTGAGACTTCGACTCAAATAAATAAATAAATAAATAAATAAAATAAATAAAACTCACAGAGATGAACTTTCTTCTTTACAACAGCAGCAAACATGGTCCCTTGACCCTCCCAGCCCTGACATCCTCCCGAGAGAGTCCCGGGATTCTGGGACATTAGGGTAGCCTTCAGAAACCTGGAGCTGCCGGGCTCGGTGGCTCAGCCTGTAATTCCGCGCCTTTGGGATGCTGAGGTGAGTGGATTGCCTGAGCCCGCGGGTTCGAGACCCACCTAGGCAGCGAGACCTCATCTCTACAATAAATCAAAAAATCAGCCGGGCGTGGTAGCGCATGCCTGTAATTCCGGCTACTCGGAAGGCTGAGGCGGAAGGAACACCAGAGCCCAGCAGGTCGAGGCTGCGGTGGCTGGGAGCGACCACTGCACTCCAGTCTGGGCGACAGAGTGCGACTCCAACTCAAAAAAAAAAAGAAGCCTGGAGCCAATGATGACAATGACTGTCGACTCCCTCCCCAGCCCCACCCCGTGTCCACTCACCCGAGGGGCAGCGGTAACAGCATTTCCCAGAGGCCTTGTCGAAGTAGCGGCTGGGATCTCCAGCACAGGCATCCTTGAAGGGTCGATCCTGGAGGGTCAGACAGGTTGGTGAGGTAGACAGATCCCAGACACCCACCCGCCCTCTGGCCCCACCAGTCCTCAGAGCCCTGGTGTCCACTCGATGTCAGGACCAGGCCAGAGCCTCACCTTGAGTTGGAGGAGATAAATCAGGACGACAGCTCCTGAATGGCGTCTCCCTCAAACTCACACTGCCTTTGGGTTTCTAGGGCAGGGGGAGTGGCCACTTCAGCTCAGGCCAGAGCCCCTGCATCTCCCAGGCTCTCTCACCTCTCACTCAACCCATTGGCAGACCCTCTTGGCCGTGCTTGGACCATTTTCCCCGCCACCTCCCCGGGCCTGTTCACCATCGCATCACACTTGGGTAACACAGCTGTCTCCTACCTGGTCTCTGGGACAGACCCAGAATACAAATTTCAGGTAAGCTTGTTTGTCGAAGTCTAACACATCCATACAGAAAAGTGCACAGATCTCAAGGGTGCCACCCGCTATCTCCACAGGGCGAACACACTGTACACCCAGGACCCAGACCAACAAGAGGACCTCGTCAGCCCCCAACCCCTTCCTCCTGCCCCTTCCCTCACACTGACCCCCAAGGGCACCCACCTAGCTGCCTTCTATCCCACCAATGAGTGTTGTCTGTTTGTGAACTTTCCATAGGTAGAATTGCACTGTCAATTCCCCGACAGCTGACTTCTCTAACTGAGCGTTCAGCTGTGAGAATCATTCATTGGTGCAATCAGCAGTTGTTCACCCATGGGCTCCTCCACGGTCATTGCATTGCAGTATTGCATCACATGAATACCCACAAAGTGTCTATCTGTTCTACTCTTGATAGACATTGGGTTGTTTCCACTTTTTGATTATCATGAGAACACAACTAGGAACAGTCCCGTATATTTTGGTGCCCCAATGTATACTCTGCTGGAACTGCTGGGTCATAAAGAATGTGTATGTTCAGTTTCGATGGACTCTTCATCCAGAAGTAGTTGTACACCAGCCGGACACAATGCTCACAGCTGCAATCCCAGCACTTTGGGAGATCGAGGCAGGAGAATAGCTTGAGCCCAGAAGTTCAAGATCAGCCTGGACAGCATAGTGAGATCCCATCTCTACAAAAATTTTTAAAAATTAGCTGGGTGTAGTGGTGCACACCTGTAGTCCCAGGTTACTCAGGAGGTTGAGGCAGGAGGATCGCCTGAGTCCAGGAGTTGGAGGCTGCAGTAAGTGAGGATCGTGCCACTGCACTCTGGTCTGGCTAACAGAGTAAGACCCTGACTCAAAAATAAAAAATAAAGTAGATGTAGCAATGGGCACTTCACTATAGGGCATGAGAGTTTTAATTGCTCCATATCCTTGATCGCACTTGGTGTTGTCTGCTTCTAACACTTTAACCATTTTGATGGTTTGTAGTGATATCTCACAGGGCTTTAAATTTGCATTTCTCTAATGAGTAATGTTGTTGAGCACCTTTTCCCATGTGTATCAGCATAGGAAAAGAACACCATGCAGGTATTCTTTCCTGTAGGTGCCTGTTCAGGTCTTGTGCCCATTTTTGGATTGTCTGGCTTTTCTTACTGAGGTGTGGGAATTCTTTTTTTCCAGAGACTTGTCCTTAGTTGAATACATGTACTGCAAGTATCCTATCCTCTAGCTGCCTTTTCACTTTCTTAACAGAGTCTTTTGATGAACAGACATTCTCAGGTTTATTTTTTGGTTTTGTTTTTTTGTTTTGAGTCAGAGTCTCACTCTGTCGTCCAGGCTAGAGTGCAGTGGCACACTCATGGCCACCGCAGCCTCGACCTACCAGGCTCAGGTGATACTTCCGTCTCAGCCCTTTCAAGTAGCCAGAACCACAGGCGTGTGCCACCATACCCAACTAATTTTTTGACTTATTGTAGAGACAAGGTCTTGCTATGTTGCTCAGGCTGATCTCGAACCCCTGAGCTCAGGCAATCCTCTCGCCCCCACCTCCCAAAGTGCTGGGATTACAGGCTCGAGCCACTGCGTCCAGCTCATTCTCAGTTTTAATAAAGTAAAATTTCTCAATCTTTACTTTTATGCTTAATGCCCTTTTATGTCCTGTTTAAGAAATAGGCTAGGCATGGTGGCTCACTCCTGTAATCCCAGCACATTGGGAGGCCGAGGTGGGAGAATCATTTGAGTCCAGGAGTTCAATACCAGCCTGGGCAATGTAGTGAGACCTCGTTTCTACAAAAAAGTCTTTTCAAAAAAGTTAAAAAATTAGCTAGGCATGGTGGCATTCACCTGTACTCTCACCTACTCAGGAGGCTAAGGTAGGAAGATCACTTGAGCCCAGGAGTTGGAGGCTGCAATGAGCCCAGACTGTGCCACTGCACTCTAGCCTGGGTAACAGAGTGAGACCCTGACTCGGAAATAAAAATGAAAAAAGAAATATTTGCCCAATGTCATTTAGATATCCTTCTACATTAACTTCTAGACAATACTGTCTAACCTTTCATACTTAGGTTCCATTCTCTCATGCCTGGTGGGAAGTAGGGGACAAAGCTCACTCTTTTCAGGAATGAGTTTTAAACAAGCCCTCCCATGTTTTTAAGGTTCTTTGAAAGTTAAGCCCCACTGTCAGAAGGGGCTCAAGAGAGAAACTTCTCTGTTGAGATCCCGGGGAAGGAATTTTGTCCTTCCCGATAGAATGGCAGGGAACACCAAAGCGAGTTTCTGGGGGACCCACGATAGGGAACTCCTGGAAGAGAGGGAAGGAGGCATCCGGGGACAGACAGAAGGAGGAAGGAGGGAGGTGTTCCACCTTCCTGTCCTCAGCATCCAAGACGGTGCCTGGCAGAAAGGAGGGGGTGCTCGTGGAATGTGGGGTTCTCCTGGTTTGGGGAAGGAAGGTGGACACCATTTTCCCTGGCTGGCCTAAGGGCTGCCTGGCTCTCCATTCCCAGGAACAGTGAAAACAAACAGATGATGCTTCTGGTATATTCCAAGAGCAGCAAGGAGGCCAGCGTAGCTGGAAGGCAAATAAGCATGGTGTTGGTGACATCATTATTCCCCCGCACCTCAACATGTCTGAAACACATCGCCATGTCAATTTGAAATAATCAGTGTCACCTGACATTGCCATGGTAGCCCCATGGTGCTTCTGCAATCTCCCTTCTCGTTGAACACAGAGCCCAGGGCCTCGAGGACACCCTCCTCCCTCCAGCAGAGTCCCCTTCCTCCCTGATCGCCAGTGGGCAGAGAGCTGCCAGGACACTGGAAGTTCCCCGATGCACAGTGTCTCATGGGGTGAGCTCAGAGGCCTGCGGTGGGGGCCGGCCGGGGGTGTGAGGGCTCAGCCCTGCTCGGCCTCCTGAGTGCGGGGAAAATTCTGGCTCCTAGCTCTGGGTTTTCCCCTGTGGCCTGCCTGCTCATCTCGGTGACAGCTATGGAGTCTAAGGGGACTGTGGCCCCTGGCCCTGCTCACTCTGCTGGGCCTAGGGGACAGCTGAGGGGATCCTGATTGCGCACTCTCATCTCCTGCCACCACACTCTGGGCCAGTGGAGGGGTGGGGGCAGAGAACGGGGACTCCATGGTGTTACATTTGGCCTGGGCTGCCTGCTTTCACACAATTCCTTTTTTGCCCCCCAGCTCTTTGGGGCTGCACCTCATGTTACAGATGAGGAAACTGCAGCCCAGAGAGGTGCAGCCACCTGCCCAAGATCACACAGCAACTAAGTGCAGAGAGGAGATCTGAGTCTCTTGGTGCCCCTAATTCACATCCACTCTCTGGGTCACAGGTTGCCTATCTATTTTACTGTTGTTGTTTTTGAGTGGGAGTCTTACTGTCGCCCAGGCTGGAGTACAGTGGCACGCTCCTGGTCACCCCAGCATGAACCTGCTGGACTCTGGCGATCCTTCTGCCTCAGCCTTCCAAGTAGCCGGATCTACAGGCGTGCGCTACCACACCCAGCTAAGTTTTGATTTATTGTAGAGACGAGGTCTTGTCAAGTTGCCCGGGCTGGTCTTGAACCCGCGGGCTCAGGCAATCCACTCGCCTTAGCCTCCCATAATGCTGGGATTACAGGCTGAGCCACTGAGGCAGATCAACAGGTGGTCTATCTTTAAAATTAAAAAGCTGGCCAGGTTGGGCTCAAAATAAATAAATAGGAGCTTAGGAATGTTCCAGAATAAAGGAGATGGAGAGAAAAGACAATTGATATAATGCCCGGGTTGGATCCTAAATCGAGCAGGGAAAGGATCCCTATAATGGACAGTATTGAGATAGTCAGTGAAATCTGAACATGGACTTTATATTGACTGGGTTGTATTGATGTTGAATGTCTGATTTTGATAACTTTTTATGTCAGAGATGTCCTTGTAAAATAAACACATGGAAATATTTAGGAGTGAAGCGTCAAAGTGTCAGCAACTAACCTGCAAATGACTCAATAAAAGAAAATAGTAATAATAATAACAGCACCTCAAAGACACCAAACAACTGAAGTGGCGGCGCTTTTCTTTTTCTTTTCTTTTTTTTTTTTTTTTGAGTTGGAGTCTCACTCGGTCGCCCAGACTGGAGTGTGGTGGCCGCTCCCGGCCACCGCAGCCTCAACCTGCTGGGCTCTGGCGATCCTTCCGTCTCAGCCTTCCAAGTAGCCGGAATTACAGGCATGCGCTACCA